AACGAATGAAATTTTGGGGGGAACGAATGGAACGAATGAAATTTTGGGGGGGAGGGGGAACGAATGAATTTTTGGCTACGCAGATGAATAAAAAAGCGTTGTAAAAAATAGACCTTTTAACGACACAAAGCAGGGACGTTGTGAAAAAGAGACTTTTAGCGACGCTAACCTAACACGTCGCGATAAATGCACACTATTAGCGACGCCAACCCTAAAACGTCGCTAAAAATATATATTTTTACCGACGAAAATGAAAAACGTCGTGAAATCCATACATTTTTAACGACGCTAAGTTAAAACGTCACAAATAATATACACTTTTAGCGACAATTATAAACGCGGGGTAAAATATATGTTTTGCCGACGCTAACTAAAATTGTCGGGAAAAACATAATTTTCGGCGACATATTTAACCATCCGTCGAGAATAAGCGTTGGGAAAAATGTAATTTGTTGTAGTGTATAGAGTAGAAAAGAAAACGCTAACCCTTTAGGATTAGGAACCGGTTTACCAAAGAATCGGTTTGAGCCCACTTAGGATCCACCCACTCAATTGCACGGACCCCATAAATTCTAGAAAATACTTTTGTATTGGAGCCGAATCAAATTATTAAGTCTAAAAAATAGAAAACCGATTAGGTTGTTTACAAGACAATACAGCATCAAACAATACAGCATGTCATTACCAAACAATACAGCATCAAACAAATACAGCATGTCATTACCAAACAATGTCTCAAACCCACCATACAACATCCTTATTTTGGCATTAATTAGTCATGTCATTACCAAACAATACAGCATCAAACAAATAGCAAACAAACACAAGCTCAATGCTTCCTTAATCCAAACAGTAGCAAATCCTCCTAAACACCTCCACATGTTCCTCCAAGAGTGCCAAGTACACATCAACCCCACCCGTCTCCTTGTACGAAGGCACAAACACCATAAGCCCCTCCACAGGCAAATTTGGAGGTAAGAAAGCGCAAGGCCCTCCACTCCCGAAATCCAACTCATGGAAATTAAACCTCAGCCAACTGTCCACCTCCAAATTTGGACACAACGCGCTCCCGCTCTCCGGTGCAGACCCTACTAGCTTATGCCCTCCCTCATGCCCTCCCTCTCTCTTCATAATCTCTCCAAAATCAACGAAAGACTTGAAGTATTCATCATTGGTCCCGCTCACCGCATCACGGATCACGGTGACTGCATGTACGTGATCCAACCGAACCAGGTCTCCTGCTTGAGCCTTTGGGTGAGCCCACAGCACCATGTTGCCAAAAAAGTTCATCGGGACAGCTGGCCTCATCCTAGCTCTACCGTTCACCGCAATTCTAACACTGGTGATTTCATCCTCGTGGAGCCCTCTTGCAACTGTGATCTTTCTCCATAAATGGGCGAGTAGGCACTCGAACGTTGACCTCCGGCCTGGGACTTTCGATTTGAGCTCGGCGATGAACTTTGCAGAGAAATGTGCTACAAAGTTAGTAACAGGGCCTTTGATTGGTTTTTTCGGGTCCGATGAGTCGGAGCTTTGCTTGAATTCGATGTCGAGGTGGTTGAAGTCGGAGTGTGGAGGGTTTCTCGGTATGGAGAAGGTGGATCGATCAAGGTAAGGGGATGGGACGGTTGTGGTTGAAGGGTTGCGGACCATCTCGGCCCAGCTGGCGAGGAATTGACTCAAGGATATGGCCATTCTGCACTTGCGCATTGATGGCCACGTGAAGCCGATTCTACTCCACCACAATTGTATTGTTTTAATTGCACTTGGAGCGATAGTTTCCTCAATAACCTGAAAGAATAATTTTAAATAATTTGGCTGTTTGTGTATATATATATATATATATATATATATATATATATATATAAATCATATATTATATAATATTATATTATATATTATGAATTGATTTGGGAAGCTTAAGCGTAGAACAAATAAATTAGTCATAATTCATTTGGAGGTAAGCCGCGTAACAAATAAAATTTAGTCATTAGTCTACAACAGTGCTCTTTCACACGGACAAAAAAAGACAAAGTAGCGCTTAATATTAGTGTTAGAACAATATTTATTTTTGTGTATTATGACGCTTGAGGCTGATACCTTAATTAGCATTGACATTTTTTCGTCAATCAACTAATATTATTATGTTATTAGTACACCCTGTTTGAAAAAAATTCAAATTTAATGCATTGGTTCTTCTAAACAAGCATGACCAGGCATATATATATATAATATATATATATATATATACTATTATATATATATAGTATATATATATATATATAGAATTGGACCCTCTCCACAAATAACATAAATAAAGTAATGGAGAGATCATTGTTTTTTATCGCAATCAATAATTATTTATTTGGTGATTGTAATTTTTTTCTAAATCTAATGCTCATTATTTCTCATGAATTGCATTAATTCGTAATTTGCATTCTCAAAGAAAAATCATAAACGTCTACTATCAATGATTGTAATAAATGTAGTGCTTCCTTTACTGTTTATTTTATAGTAAAGAAGATCTGAGTCCTTTAAGACGTCAAGAGAGGGTCAATTGTTTTGGACAATTCTATCGATGGTTCACCCAAGACGATCATTAACTAGATTTGCAAATTAATCTTCAAACTCACTTGCAGCGGAAGGGTCATAGCGCACCAGCCGATGTTCGTTCCACTGTCTGAAGAGAATCAAACTTAACCATCACAAGATTAGTGAGTTCATTAGTAATCATTTTTTGTAAAACCTAGCTTGTGGATAAATTAAGAGATTTCTTAAACAACAGATCGAGGAGATTTATCATATATAATTTATCAAAACCCGTCGCATATAAAGATTTCATAACTAAACACAAACCTTCAACTGAGGGATGCAACTCCGTCGTGTTTGTGGTCCCCTCAAGTGGCATTTTCTCCGCCAAGGTAGCACCGACCCTCGCTTCAACCACCCTAACTCCCGCATTGTTCAACAAAATACAGGGCTGCCCGCTGTCATCAACGGTGAGTCTCCCAGCAAGGTGCGGAAAGTAAGCCAGCACTCTGCACAGTCCTTCAATGATCTCCAAGTTTTCAGGCATCGGAGCCCTGTACGCGTGGACTGTTGCAACGTGGAGGTCCATGGCAGCAAGGTCAAAGACGGTGAGGGGCACAAGTGTGTTTGTTAGCGGATGGGGAGGGGTTGTGCATGGCTTCAAGATTCTGGAACTAGTTATCTCTATAGCCATCTGATGAACTCAGTTCATATGGGGTCAAGACCTTGATACCTTAGGATATGAGTCTACACTTCGCACGTTAGTGATGCCCTTATATAGAGGATGTATTTGCACACAACGCAAGTTCTCAAAATTTACTGGCATGCTATAGTTTGAAAGTGTGGCATGTTTGCGAGAAAATGGAGAATGTGAGTTGGTGTTGAAAGCGACTTTAATGTAAAATCAAAGTAAGCGACCTTAATGTAAAATCAAAGTCTATATATATATATATATGAGAAAAATGGAGAAACTTGGTACCAAGTTGCTCCAAGCAACTTGGTAGTGATGTGGTCTAATCTTGTCCCTACATCTACATTAGAGTTAGGGGCTGTTTGGTTGTTGTTGGTAAAGTTGTGTTTTTATGACACAACTTTGAAAGTTGTTGTCCACCTCATCAATTTCACTTTTATACTTTTCTTTGTTTGTTTTTTATTCCATTGGAATCATAAAATACTTGTTTGGTTTGTAAAATGAAACTTTAATTGTTTGTTTGGAAAGTGTAAAAAGTAATCCCTACTCAAATGATCATATTGGTTAGAATTATTTTTTATTATTTTTTCCTCCACCTCATCAATTTCACTTTTATACTTTTCTTTGTTTGTTTTTTATTCCATTGGAATCATAAAATACTTGTTTGGTTTGTAAAATGAAACTTTAATTGTTTGTTTGGAAAGTGTAAAAAGTGGTCCCTACTCAAATGATCATATTGGTTGGAATTATTTTTTATTATTTTTTCCTAACTTCAATAGTTAGCTTTCTCCTAAAATCATGTCTTTTTTTCATGAAATCACTTTACAAGCCACATCAGCATATGAAATCACTTTACACTATTTTCACAACTACAAACAAACAATTGAAAGTGATGAAAGCTGACATTGGGACCCACTTTTTTACACTTTACATCCTTTTACATGGTAAAAACATACAACCAAACAGCCCCTTAGTGAAGGTTGGTTGAAGATCTATGATCTTATGTCCTTTTCAAAACATTCTCCTTTTCTTTTAAAGAAAAATTCTCCAATGACCCAAAATATGGGACCAATAGAAGGGACAAGTGAGGTGTCCCCCTCCTATTGGATAATGAGTTGGTCATCATTAATGATGGCCAACTCATTATCCAACCAATAGGAGGGGGACAACTCACTTGTCCCCCCTATTGGTCTCATATTTTGGATCCCTGTAGCAAAGCTCTCTTTTAAAAGAAGATGGCATTAAATCATCTTTATATATGTTATCTACAATATATTCAAAATATTAAATTCTGAGTATTAAATACATATGCCTAAAGACAATTTTAAATATAGTTTAATAGTTGAAAAAAGGGTAATTCATAAGCTTATCTCAGAGCTTTGTGCAATTTGTGCATTAAGGTACACATTAGCTATTGATATAGCTCAAATGATATGTTAGAAAACTTTTAATTTATTAAAATATACTACATTAAAATTTGGGAAAAATGTGTCTAGGCCCCCAAAACAGAAACTTCATGTGCTGCAGCCCCTCCTAGTTTACCCCATGTGGTTCAGCCCCTTGAAGTGTGACATTTTGTGCTGCAGCCCCTTTTTAGCAATTATTATATGTCAGCTAAGCTAAAATCTCCAAAATAACCTTATCCCTTCTCCTCAATCCTTCAAACCCAGTTCTCTCTCTCTCTCTCTCTCTCTCTCTCTCTCTCT